TCATCCCTTCACTTTTAGTCTGTATGTGTCTTTCGAACCGAAGTGAGTATCTTGTAGAAAGCATATAAATGAGTCTTGCTTGTTTATCTATTCTGCCATTCCGTGTCTTTTGGTTGAAGCATATTGTCCATTTACATTTAAAGTAATTATTGATAGGTATGTAGTTATTGCCATTTTGCTGGTTTTGGTTGCTTTGTTCTTCTCTATTCCTTTCTTCTCTTGATCTCTTTTCTTTTGATTTGCTGGTTTTCATTTGTGTTTTGATTGGGTTCCTTTCTCTTTATTTTTTGTGTATTTTTTGTAGGTTTTTGGGTTTTGGTTACTGTGAGGTTCGTATATATCCATCTATATCTATAGCAGTCTATTTTAAGCTGATATGTGTGAAAATTCAAATACATTCTAAAAACACTATACTCTATATTTTGAACATTATGTTTTTTATCTTTCTATTTTATGTACCCCCTATTTATTGCAGTTATAGTTAATTTTGCTACTTTTGTCTTTCAACCTTCATATTAGCTTTTCTTGATTCACTGTGATTATTATATATTTGCCTTTATTGGTGAGATTTTTTTTTCCTTCTAGTATTTTCTCATTTCTGGTTAGAGCCTTTTATTTTGTGCCTCAAGAAGATCCTTTAACACTTTTTGTAAAGTTAGATTAGTGGTGGTGAACTCCTCTAATTTTTGCTTTTCTGAGAAACTCTTTATCTCTCCTTCAATTCTGAATGATAACCTTGCCAGATATAATATTCTAGAATATAGGTTTTTTTTTTTTTCTTTTAGCATTGTAAATATTTCCTGCCTCTCCCTTCTGGCCTATAAAGTTGCTTCTGAGAAATCAGTAGATAACCTCATGGGGTTTCCCTTATTGTGACTTGTTTCCTTGTTGTTGTCTTGCCTTTATCCTTAACTTTTGCTGTTTCAATTACAGTATGTCTTGGTGTGGGTCTCTTTGGGTTCATTTTTTTTGGAACTTTGCGCTTTCTGGCCTGGATGTCTGTTTCCTTCTCCAGATTAAGAAAGTTTTCAGCCATTATTTATTCAAATGTACTTTTTGCCCTTTTTACTCACTCTTCTCTCTCTGAAATCCCTATGATGCAGATGTTAGAGCACTTAATATTATCCCAGATGTTAGAGCATTTAATATTATCCCAGATGTTAGAGCACTTAATACTATCCTCATTTTTTAAGTCTTTTTTCATTCTGCTGTTCTGATTGAGCAATTTCCACTATTCTGTCTTCCAGGTTGCTAATCTATTCTTCTATATTAACTAATCTACTTTCAGTTCTTTCTAATTTTTATTCATTTCAGTTATTGTTTTCATCTGTGGTTGATTCTTTATTACATTTTCTAAACGAAGTGCTCTCTGAGTTCCTTTATTCTACTCTCAAGTTTGTTGAGCATCCATTCAACTGTTTCTTTGAATTCTTTATCAGGCAAATGAGTTCTGTCCATTTCATTAGAGTTTTTCTCTGGGGGTTTTTCTTATTCCTTCATTTGGGGCATATACTTCTGTCTCACCATTTTGTTTGGCTTTCTCTGTTTGTTCCTATGGTTTAACCGAAACAGATATGTCTCCCAGTCTGTGTGCCAGACGTTTTTGGTAGGCCAGTTGTAGTCAGGAAGGCACATGGCATACCTGATAAGCTGCTTGGCCAGAAGGAGTGGGTTCTAGGCAGGCCAGCCTGGTTCGTATGTGCTTCCTTGCCCTTTTGCTCCAGCAGGGCTGCCCTGTACGCATCCAGAGCACCCTGTTGTTTTAATCTTCTGTTGCCTGAACCAAGTCTGGATAGGGCAGCCCCACGTGCACGTGCAGGAGTACCCCACTATCTCTGCACCCTTTCTCGATGGGATAGCCTGGCATGCGGATTACTATAGCATTTTGCTAGTTCTTCACTCTCTCTGATCAGAGGTCTCACATGCACATGAAGCCCAGTAGGTGCATACAGCAGCAGCATCCTGATGCACCCGCTAGATCAATGTCCATGTGGAGGGACCCCATTTGTGCACACTGCGGTGTTCTCCTGTTCCTGCTGGATCTAGTTCCAAGAGGGATGGCTGGGTACATGCTACAGTGGCCCTGCAGTTCATCCAGAGAACTGGATAGGAGCTCCTGCCTGCTGTTCAGGTGCAGAGGAAATATAAGTAATGGCGCTCACCAGTTCCTTTGGTCCTGGAGAATTGTCTTAGCTCCGAAGGAGCCCTCACAGTTCCCCAGCCTTCTTTCTACAGTCCTTCTTGTTTGTTGTGCAGAAGCTGCCCAATTGGCTCTCAGTTTTCTCTCAGGAAGAATTGCTTTAAATATAGATGTAAATTCAGTGTGTTCTTCAGAGGGGGCAAGCTCAGAGTTTTATGCTGCCATCTTAGATCCACTTCAAGAATATCATAATTTCTCAAGAGAATTGAATCTGTATGAACTATAAATCAGAATCTATGTGACAACAGTTTTAGAAAGGCTCAGAGGGGAATTCATAACCTTAAACACTATACAATAAAAATGTACATAGGAAAATGAATGAATTAGTGTTTTATGTCAGTCACTTCTTTACTAACAGAAGAGTATGACAGATCTTGCCAGGTCCTTCTATTTTAATTTTATTTATAATATATAAAAAACGAGACATGATACAAATTAAATTTGGTTTTATTGTACTTGAAATTCTTTTATTACTTTATGTGACTTTTATAATCCAGACATGCCTTCCCAGATCAGACCTATCCAGGGATAACTCTGACAGCCCAAGGAATTGGGTAGGGAATGCATCCAGGAAGCCATTGACCTAGGCAACAAGCAGCATCCCCTCACTCACAGAGTACCTTCTCCTCCTCCAGGGGTACAAGAAGCAGTCAGCACTGAAGCTGGGTAACATTAGTCACCGTCTGGCAGAGCAGCAGGAGGACTTTGCTAACAAGACAGCTCAGTACCAGCAGGAGATGAGGCACCTCCATCAGATGCTGCAGGACAAGCAGGATGTCCTGGACGAGGCACTGCAGCAGAAAAGGTAGAGCTGCCCCAGCATCATATCGTCTCTTTGTTTTTTGAATGTTTGCTAGGATTTTCTGGATCTGTTTTCTTTGTTCGATTGCTTATTTTTGCTTTTGTATTGTAGTTTTATCTGTATTTAGCATTGGTCTTAATTTTTATTTTCTCAATCATTTTCTTTTTAAATTTTTCCCCAAGCAGTTATGGTGAGAACATTTAAGATCTATTCTCTTAGCCACCTTCTAGTACACAATACAGTATTGTTATCCATAGTCACCATACTGTACATAACATCCCAGCTCGGATGTGATTTTCTTCAAGTTATAGTAGGGTCCATGTATTCGATGCCATATGGAATGCAGTCATCCATTTTGTTTTTCATCAACCAGGTGCTTCTTAATGCCAGGCAAAATGAAGTCATATCTAACATGGTTTCTGTAGTCACAGAAGTTCTTACCACTGTGAAGAGTCATTTTGTAAAAAGTTGGGCTAATACTAAGTTTCTTGCCAGATAGGAAGTTTAGAATTGCATTAATAGAATGGAACTTTTTTTTTAGATTTCTCCCCATTCCACCTTTTGCCCTTGGTTTGAAAGTTATATGTTCTATTTCTGTTTTTTTTTTAGTGGTTACCCTTGAAATTTCACCATGGATATTTAACATTAAAAATATAAATTTAATCAGCATCTCTATATTTCTGCCCCAAATGTATGATCTAATGCTTTAATCTAATTATTCCTCCCTCAGTTTATATGTTTTATTGTCTAGTGTCATTAGATATAGAAGTATATGGAAGTGAAAAACAAAGATCTATTTTATGTCATTATTTTTAACACCCCCAAATTAAATGTTACTAGTTTTATATAGTTGTTTATTTTGATTTACCCGCAGTTTGCCAATTTCTTTTTTTACTAGTTGTTAAAAACAAGACAACAGGCCCAAAATGGAATATTTATGCTAATCAGACTGAGATTTAATTTACAATTTTGACTCTCCCAGAAATGGAATCTTAAACCAGTCAATCAGGACTCACCTGATCTGCACTAGTTTGGTAATCTGTCTGATAGACCCCTGCCATCCCCTAAAAGAGTAACCTGGTGATAACCAGCCTACTATTTTTGCCTCATATAACTTTCTTGTTCCTACTTCTTTTGCCCATAAAAGCCTTTCGTTTTATACAGCTTCTTGGAGCTCCTTTTTATCTGCTAGATTGGATGCTGCCAGATTCAAATTGATTTTCGCTCAAAAAACTCAAAAGTTTAATATTCCTGCTTATCTTTTAACATATTCTTTCTTGCATCTCAGACATTATTTCTCAGATTAGTTTCCTTCTTCCTAAAGTACATTCTTTAGACATTTCTTTAGTGAGAGTAAGCTTTCCTAGTTTTTGTGTATCTGAAAACATCTGCATTTTGTCCTCATTCTTGTAAGATGTTTTTGCTGGGTACAGAATTCTACCTTGACAGGCTTTTTCTCAGCATATTCCATTGTCTTCTCTGTTTCACTGTTACTGTTAGATGTCTTCATCTGTCTTTTCCCTTGCCTCTTAAGATCTATATCTAGTATTCTACAGTTTCATTGTTATGTGTTTAACTGAATTTTTTACTCATCTACTTTGTATAAGTTATATCTCTGGTTTTGTGTCTTTCATTCGTCTAAAAAAATCTCAGTCATCTCTTAAAATAAGTCATTTCCTATTCTTTCTAAATTCTCTTACAGAGAATACAGATTAAATGTATGTTAGACCTTCTTATTAAATCTTTCATGTGCCTTACTTTTTAAATCTTCCCTCTCCTTGTTTTTCTGGTCTACATTCTATATAATTTCTTCTGTTCAATATTCCTGTTTACTAATTCTCTCTTCAGTTACGTTAATGTACTATTTAACCAGCCACTAAGATTTTTTTTTAATAACTGTATATTTCATTTTAAGAACTTCTGTTTGGTTCTTTTTAAACTCTACCTAATCATTTCTAAAATAAATTCTTGTTCTTTGCTTATTTTTAATAATAATTAAAATTCTTTTATCATTTCATTCATACTTATTTTATATTCTATCTATGACTAAATGATGAAATCACATATGGTTGAATTTATTCTGTGGAATCCTTAGGGTCCAGATTGGGGATCTCGATCTCAGAGATATGCATTTGCTTCTCTTTGGTTCCAGAGAATATTTCTAACCTGGAGCCACTTTAATTTTATTAATAATTTTTAAAAATAGACTATAATAATACTTTCTTTAAAAATAAAAAAGGACATTTAAAATAATGCCATTGTTACATTTCTAATATATATCTTATTAATATCATATATTTTTCCGAACTGCATTTTGGGTGACTTTCTCTGCTCAATATTCCAGTTTACTAATCCTCTCTTCAGCTGGGTTCAATGTACTGTTTAACCCATCTATTGTATTTTTGCCTGATTGTTTCAAAAATGGCTTTGTACTCTTGGTTCATTCTAGTCAGCATCTGGGGATGCCCAATCATGTAGAACAATGTAGATTTCAACTCCAGATGATTTTGAGAACAGGCAACTCCTAGCCTCTCAGAGCAGTTTTCTTTTGAAGACTGGCAGATTTTCCACTCAACCATTCTTTATGTGCCTCCACTTCTCTGCCTAATTCTGGAATACATAGTTCAGAGTGTATCTAGGAAGAAGAGAAGAAATAGGGATATGAGAGAGTTTGGGGTTTTCTGTCACACCTAGTTTGTATGGGCCCAAGACCTAATCTCCATTTTAAAAAAATTTGGGTTTCTGTTATGAGATTTTGTCTTCAAAACAATACCAACATTTTGTTTATCTAACTCTGTGGTTTCAGTTCAATCTTCATTTTTTTTCTGTCCTTAGAGATTCCTTATTCTTTGAGTTTAGCCATACATTTATCATAATTGCTGTAATTTATCAAATACCTAGGTGTTTTTGTGCTAGAAATTTGTTTAGACATAGTTTAACTAAATAGTGCCCAACACTCAGCATCATGAGCCTTGGAAGGAAACAACAGTTCACAAGAAAAGTGAATACTGGACATGTGAGCATGTCACTGGCCTCCCTGAATCTGTGTTCTCTTTAAACAGTAGTGCTAAGTCCACCTGGTAATTCAGTTTCTAACATTTTCATAAACATCTGGCAGTGTCTTTGAAGGAGCTCACCTCCCCAACCCTGCACAAGGCCTGCTCCTCCTCCCACAATGAGGCTTGCTGTTCTCTCCCTCACACTCCTCCATGAGGCTCATCATCCTATGAGGTGGGGACTGGTATCCTGGTCTGTTCCCCCAGTAGCCCCGTGAGGACATGGATACTTTTGTCTGTTTCCTTATCACCCCATATGATGCCTGTCACAGAGTCGTTACTCAAAAAGAACTGCTTTGCTGTCTTTTCTTTCCCTCATTAGCCTTGGTTCCCTCTGAGAACATGAACTCACCCTCCTGGCACATGGTCTAGGCCAGTCTTCTCTGTGTCCTCGGATATGAGTCCCACTCCCCGACGATCTCCGTACCCCCTTACTAACTCTTCATGTCTGGGCCCATCAGTGGCTTTATGGATAGATGCCTGGGAAAAGTGCCTGAGCATTGACCAGTGCGGGCAAGCAGAAGGGTCACAGGAGAGGCCTGCAGGGCCCATGCCAAGTGGGTGCCCATGGCCAGGCCATTGTGTATAGGTCAACCACTGCAGTTATTGTATTTTATTCTTATACATGTTAATTCTATAGAGAAACAAAAGGATATATGCATCGATGCCAAAATAAATGAAAAGGCAGAACTTAGAGAGAAAGGGTAAGAAATTGTTTCTACCTGTGCCTTAGTATTTTTTTCCATTTCCAAGGCACCTTGGTGCTTCATTCATCACTGGGAATCTTCACCTCAGAACCTAAGCACAAAAGGCTCTGTTCGCTGATGTTAAGCACCCTTCCATTTGAGTTCTTTCTACTTTAGGATTGATAAGGGGTCTATAAATCTTTTTTAATTATGCTATTTTAAACTTTTGTTATTTTATTTCTCTCAGAGAGGTGGAAAGTGAGCTTGAAGTTGTTTGGGAGTCTACCTCCAAGGAAAACCAAAGAATTCGAGAACTTCTCCAAGCTACACTGGAGAGGAAAGGCATGTGGGACAACACCAGAACTTTCAAGGATCCCTGCCTCGATGGCGTCTCTCAGGGAGATGTGCTGGATGGCTGCATCTTCAGCTACTGTGACATGAAGCCCCCTCCCGCCACCTGCCAGAGTCTGCGGGAGCCCCCGGGCTAGGGCCCCTCAGCCTTAAAGGCCCACCTTCACCAGGATGGGAAGGGGCAGGCTCCCACCTAACACTGCAGTGTTTTTTCTCCTCAGGGCAAGGAAGAAATAAAACTGTCTCAGAAATTTAATCCATATTTTTACATTTCGCTTTATTTTAATAATGTGCTACTAGACTGTATTTTACCCAGTGCGTGGCTTCTGGCCACATTGCCACTGAGACGGGCTCTGTGAGATCTATTGCTCAGGTGAACAGGAGACCTGATGACCCGCCCCGTCTCTGGGATCCTAGAAAGCACCCGAGGGAATGGCCAGGCAGGGCCGAGCTCTCACCCTGTGTATTAGATGAGTTTAATTGGATGAGCCCATCAATGGAAGCACCAGTGATCATATCTGGGTGGTATTGTATAGTTCGGTAGAAAACAAAGTGCTGGTACTCATACACTGGTAAGTTTACAAAACCTGTTCTGCCCCCTGCCCAGCCCTTCTTTGTCTAGGGCCAAATTTTTCTAGGGCCACATGCCCTCCACCCGCTTTGAGAGCCTTCACTTTGAGCACCAAAGTGGGGGCCGTGGGTCTGCTCCACTCTGTGCCAGCCTCTCAGGACCATTCAGTGAGACTTCCTGATGGTTATGCCAGCTATCCAGGGCTGCTTTTCCCTGACATGCTGGAAGAACCCAGGGACATCAGGCTATAAAGGTCTCTAGCCAGTGGTACAAAAGAGTAGAATCCTGAACACATCCTTTTACAACACCCCTCCTAGCTAAGGCCTACGTTGTGTCAGGTGAGCACATAAGCCCTAACGTTGGTCCTTGGTCATGGCTAAAAGTGATGCACATACTCTGATTGCTAGATAGGAAGTGGAGATAGAAAGTCATAGTTCTTTTACATTTTATTAAACTTGTTCAGTTAAATCATTATCATTTTGCCAGGGGTAGAAAAACTCACCAATCACGCCATTTAAAACTATATATCTCACTGGGAAATGACTTAGCAAATAATTTTGATGTTATTTTGAGGAAATTTATGCCAACTGTTCGATAGATAGGTCATCCGTAGATAGGCTGAAAAGTGGCGGCAGCCCATAGCCTCTCACCTTCCAGACCTGTGCTCAGGGGCTGGCTCGTCTGTGGGAACACTGCCATTATCACACTACCTAGAGAACCACTTTTGTCGTCTGTGTCTTTTTCCTGCTTTCTATGAGAACATTTTACTCCTTGAGGCATGAACATTTTTACATTTCTGCTTTAAGTTTATCACACATTACAAAGGTACTTTGCAACTTCAGTGAACCCTGGCCTGCACAGCCAGGCAGGGGTGGGAGTCGTGTAGCATTTGTGCTCTGCCAGCCTCCTGCTGGTTGGCAAATGAGCTCAGAGTCCAGTAGCAAAGGAGAGCAAAGCATATAAGGCTGTGGAACAAGGCAGCCAAGAGGGAGAGACCAGACTGTTGGTATGCTTCATGGAGGAACTGGAATGCCCTCGGCCTTGCAGAGTGGACAGGAGCAGAGGAGGGGCTTTGGGCCTGGAAGTTGGGGTGAGCAGTGAGGCTAGACCGCGGAGAAGGGGGCACCTGTTCCTCTTCATCCTGCAGGTTTCCAATCAGCAGGAGCCAGTTCCATTCTTTCTTGGTCCTGGTAAGGCTTTCTATGGTTCTAGAAAGGTCCTCATCAGGTTGAAAGTAACCCAAAGCAAACAATTATATGACCCAGGAACTCAAGTGAGCCCAGCTGCCTTTGGCATAACTAAAAAGCAGCCCTGGGGAAGTCAGGACTGAGTGGAGAGAGCCGGGTGAGCACAAGAGTGAGTGTGAGATTGGCGTGCTAGCCGGTGAGAAGCCGTCCTCAGGTTTCCGTTTGACTTGCGCAGAGGGGAGGTGGGATCAGAAGTGAATCCTTTGCCTCTCGACCTCTGAGAAGAATGGGGGACACCACCCTTTTCCAACGGCTTCATTCTATAGAGAGCAGTGGGGTTATCCAAGGAGAAAAGTCTGAGTTCTACTGATTGTTATTTATTCAGATATATGTTAGATACTTATCTCTGGAACTGTTGAGAGCAGTAGTGGTGAGAAGGCAGGCGCAACGGCAGCCTGTGAGTGCTCAGAAGGAAATAGCTGGGACAGGACCCCAGGGCCGTGCGTTTCCAGAGCAAGCAAGGCCTCGGTGCAGTTACCGGAAAACTGTGTATATTAAGAGCCTGTGGGTACGTGAACCTACCATTTCAACTATAAATTTCATGAAATCTAGATACTGATCATTTCTGATGAAAATCTAGCACCTGAATCGAGATATACATGCCAGATTTTGAAGACTTGCTATGAAAATAAAGAACGTAAAATATATCCCTAATAATTTTTATGGTGGTTATGTGTTGAGACAACATTTTGTGTCTAATAGGTTAAAGAAATAATAGAAAATTGATTTCACCTGGTTTGGTTTTTTTACTTTTACCTGGCCGCCAGGTAAATTTAAATTACACATGTACGTGTATGTTACGTTACCACTGAGTTGGCTCTGACGCCTGACAACCTATGAATGAATGATGTCCACAGTGTTTCATCCTCAGCAGCTCCGTTCGGCTCCTGTAGACTCATGCCAGTGGCTTATTTTACAGTGAGTCCATCTTGCACTTAGTCTTCCTCTTGGCCCGCTGCCTTCTTTTTGTCCCAGTATTGTCTTTCCTGAGAATGCTGCCTTCTCGTGATGTGCCTGCCCTAAGCAGGACGGTTTCAGTTTTATCATTTTTGCCTCCAGCGACGTTTGGGCTCAATTTGCTCTAGGACCCAGTCGTTCATCTTTCTGGCAACCCAAGGGGTACCCGTAGAGCTCTCCATATTTCAAATGAATCAACTTTTTTCCTATCGGCCTTCTTCACTGTCCAACTTTCACATCCATACATGGTAATTGGGAACACGAGGCTGCGGGTGATCTTGTCCTTGGTCTCTAATGACACATGTCTGCTCCTAGTGATTGTTCCTACGTCTTCTATTGCTGCCCTTCCGAATCTCAGCCTTCTCAATTTCTTGGCTGCATTTGAATTGATGACAACCATGATAAGCAAAATCTAGCTCACATTATATTTCTCTTGGACAGCACTGTATAGACCTAAATGTAAAAAACAAAACTAAGATTCTGGAAGATAATTTATAACTTTGGGTCAGGGAAGGCTTTCTTAAATAAGACACAAAAAGCCCTAACCACAGAGGAAAATAATACATTTGACTACATCAAAATTAAGAACTCTTCTAAAACAAAACAAAGGTACTGAACTTATGGGCCTTGGTCTTGGAGAGGATTTTATGAATTGAACCTCAAAGTCAAGGGAAGTAAAAGCAAAAATAAATGAATGGAACTACATCAAACTAAAAAGCACAGCAAAAGAAACCATCAACAAAACAAAGAGGCAACCAGGCAACCGACCAAATGTCCTCGAGGCAAGAAGGAGAGCATATGTAGAATGAACCACACAAATCAACAGGAATCGTTCCCATTTCAACCAACACGGTGGGTCTCAACAGAACACAGTATGATCCCAACTATATAATGTTCAAAACCATGCAAACATCAGCAATAACTATGTTCTCCAGGGATGTAGATGCGTGTGGTGAAACCGCAGAGAAAAGCAAGTTCATCACAAACTGGAAATGCAGCTCCTGGTTACTCAGAAGGCATGCGAGTGGCTGCCTCTTTGAGCTCAGCGGTCAGTGCGTTGGCATTTAGTGTTTTTAAAACATTCATAGACATCGGATGACTTTTGTACACTTAAAAGAATAAGTTGAAATTTGCACAATAAAAATTCCAGTAAAATTTTGAAAAAGGAAATGGCACATGAGATTGCAAAGCAAAGGCAAATTTTGAAGTGTTGCTGTCTGGCGTTGGGGAGAAGTGGGCCGTCACTGAGGAGTCTGTGTGGTCAGGGGAGGCTTGTGGGAGATTCATGTTTATGAATAAAAATGAAAGAGCAGCATGGGCGATGGCAGGAATAGAACTCCTGGGAAGACAGGAGTAAAGCAGACCTTGGGGCGGACTGTGGGCCCAGGAGAGAGGGTGGATGCTTCCAGGTGAATAGATGAAGGCCGTGTTTTCCACATTCTCTGCTCATATAAAGCTGCCTGCCAATCAGGTATGGGAGGAAGGAGGAAGGCTGTAGAAGGTGTGAGGACCGCAAAAGCACTTCACTGAGGACACAGGACTGCCCTCCCTACTCAGTCCAGCTGTGCTGCTCTCCAGTGAAAGTGCCCGAGGTGGGGCTTTGCAGACAGGTACAGTGTGGGAGCGGTGGGGATCGGGCAAGGATGTGACTAACAAAAGCTACAGGCGGAAGTGGAGACAGGCATGAAACCGTTGCCCCTAGAATTTCCCTGCCTTCTCCCTTCTTCTAGCTATTGCTTCTGGAATTACTTCCACTTAAAATAAGCTTGTCCATTTAGTCCCCTCAGCCTTCCATCAAGCCCTGGACCATTCCGGGAACCCCAGCTGCCCGAATTCTGGGGGCAAGATGGGGTACGGGGCTCTGTTTTCGTTCTCGCCTCTCTCAGGCCTTCCATGGAGCCTGGGGACACTGGGATAGATTTTCTGGAGAAAAAACTGGCTGTCTGCAGAAGAAAAGAGTTCAGGGCTAGTGCCCTGCTCCGCGGTGTCAGGGCAGAGACAGGACTGTGATCCAGCCCCATTTTTACCCTACCCCACTCCTCTTCAAGGGCTGGGGCACCAATAGTTCTGCAAGAGACTCTGCCCACTCCATGGACCCACAGCCTGGCCAAGACAACCATCCTTCTCCATCTCCTGTCCACCCTGAAAAGTGGGTGGACATTTCTCACTATGCACAGGACCACTGTTCAGTGGGCCTTCCAGGGGTGTGGCGAGGAGACACATGTTCACCCCAGGTCAGCAGGACAGCCCACTGGAGGCCAGTCTTCCGTGGAGGGAGTCCAACCTTCTGGTGTGTGTGCTCCTGTGTCACAGGGATGAACCCAGCCTCACTCCTGGGTGTAGACATCTGTTGGACAACAAGAAGACGTCCCTGGTGGGGGCCCTGGAGAGCACACATTCGGCAGGGAAGGCTGACACGAAGAATCCACTGAGCATGTTAGAACAAGTGCTGGGAGGAGAAAGGCGAGAAGCTTATCGTGAGGAA